AACATTGTTTCAATATATTTTTTAAATTAAAAAAAATTCTTAGTGGTTCAACAGTTCTTTTAGCCTTCCCTTTGATGTCACTGAAAGGGGAGTTACGCAACCCTTTTATGAAAATGCAGCAGTGCCTCATAGTAGAGGCTCTCTAGTGTTTTGTAAATGGTAGCGTTTGGAATGACTACCACCGAATACGGTACCATCTGTTTAAGGTTTCAGGGGGCTTTCACAGACAAAAGGGAAAAGACCTCCCAGTGTCACCACTAAATGGAAAATGACCCTGTCATGTTCAGACAAACCTAAATATGCATTCCAGAAACATCTTCAAATCATCAGGTACCGTCTTCCTGCCAATCACTGCCAATGGCCAAATTATTTATGAATCTGTAGCGTTGATTAACGAGCACAGCCTGCTCCACCTCTCCAGTCTATGTCACAATCCAGCCCTGGAGACAAACTGACCGCAAGAAAGTCACACCAAGGAATTTCAGTTATACTCCCATCTCCACTGCCAGCATTGCTTGAAGCAGGGAAGAACAACAGAGCAATTTAATACGGGTTTCAATCAAATTGGACGATCTTTAAAGTTTGCTGGACAGCAACAAGGTATGTACAGTGGGTGCCACTAAAAATAAAACCCTGTTTACCACGACACGATATTCGGAAGGGGAAATGCTGCACATACTGCAGGAAGTTTAATTAGCCAGGATAACTTTTTTTTTTTTTTTTTAAATAACACCACCCACTGTATTTCAACTGCCCTCCAGAATTTACACTGAAGCCACAGTTAAACCCCTGACACCATCTCTATGAAATCCCAGCTGGCATGGTTTCCTTTGCATTATTTTGCCAGGATGGATGTGGGTAGTAAGGGCATAGTCTCATTTCAATTAGGGTGGATGTTTATGGGTTAGGGGGAGGGAGAAAGAGGAAGAGCCCTATAACGCACTGGGGAATGTGCCCATTGAATCAAGGACCCCTCTCCCTTACCCCCTAGGTAACAATAAGGGAAGGTTGCCATGAACATTCAGTGACAATTATTTCCCTGCAATTAATCCTAAAAACTAGTTGCCATGGTCCCATACACTCTATTCTATTAACACTACAGTAAGTTGTAGCTGTTGGGGTCACAACTGCACAACACTATGCTATAAAATTCATTTACAAGATACTTTACTGGTTGGGGAAATTTACTAAACGGCAACATCAAATAGTCATTAGTATTTTACAAGTAACAATGACACTTTCACTGTGGTTTCATTTGAGTGTGTGCGAGGAGAGGGTTAACCTCTCTCTTTTGGGTCACCCAGAACATACAATAGGATGACTGATCATGGGCAAAACCATGTCTAGTCTAGATGACTTATATGCAGTCTCTCCAGACCCACTCTCAGCTCCTCATGCCCCCTGTCAGCTGGCACCCTGCTTTTGATCAGAAGGGCAGCAGAGGTCTTTCATTGGATGTACTCTATCCTAGCTTAACAAGTCCAGCCTCAAAGCTTCTGAATGATAGTTATGCCCCTTAGCATTGGGATGTAGATTCTGCTGACAGCATCTATATTTGTAACAGCAATTTCTTCTCTTTGCCAAAACTGCTTTCAACTTTTTTTCTCCCCAAAGAAAATTCATTCAGTTTTACCCCTTTACCCATTCCCTCCCCAACCCCCCAAAATACCATCCAAAGGCCACCATCCTCTGGATGAAGAGGACTACCTGGGATTCCCTTCCAAGACAATCAGTCTGGTCCCTGAAAGATGAACTTGCACACTGGGAAAACTCAGAATGAGATTTCAACCTTGGCCTACCAGATACTCCTCCTGCATCATCCAGTGGTGATATAGTTATTGCCATAGAAACAATGGTGATGTCATAATGGAGCATTGTGATTTCACTGCAGGAGCACGCAGACTGACATGAGAGAAAATTCTTCACTGTGAGTGGATGTCAGGAAGGAAAGTTATTAAAGAGAGGCAAGCAGGTCGAGGTTTTAATTAAGACTTGTTAAAAAAAATGAAAAATGAACTCCCCAGTGTGAAAATCCTTCTTTACACATAGGTCTTAAAAGGTTAAACAAGAGGAAATCCATTTTCATCTCTTCTTCACCCTTGAAGCTAGTGTAGAGATGGGTCCAAACCAAGCAATGCCAAAACTCTGGGGTGGTTTGGAGCCAGATCTGAACTTTTTGTGGCTTCAGCACAGCTACTAATTTACTTCAGCTTGGGGTGGGAGAGGGATGAAAAACCCTCTCTCCTCCCACCCTAGATAATTCTGCAGTTGGCTACATGGCACTTAAAGTCCCTGCCAGCCAAGGGGGCTAGAGCCCAAGTCAAGAAATTCAAGCCTGGTACCCCATGTGGCTGGTCTGAAGAACACTAAACCCTAAGAGAAAAGAAAATCTAGCACTAGTGAAAGGTGTCGGATTGCCTGAGGTGCTCTGTCCGCAGAAAAGGTACTGACTGCACACGCGGTGGCAGTGCAAATTTCCCCTCCCTGTCTTGCCAAAGCACCTCAACCCTGATCTGGAGGGGAGGAGCTCAGATGCCCTGGGCCATGAGTTGTTCACCTGTCCACTAGGAATGGTCTGAGACCTACCAACCCACTGCACAGAGTTCCCCTCAACAGCTATCAGATGTGCCACTACCGACACAGGCTGGATTGGAATAGGTGACCTAGCAGTGAGATATTTTACAGGACAAATGAGCCATCCACTCCGTCAATCATACTTTCTAAGAACAAGGAGAATTTTTTTTTTTAAATGGTAGCAACAGTGCTGCTTATATAAACTTGTTGATTTAACTACAACTATTGGTCATTTTCTCCAGATGGTCTTAGGAGATTCTGCTGTCTGGAATTGCTACAAGCTGCCAAGCCTCCTGGCAACACAGCTTCATAAAAGGACAGTGCATCGACTAAAGGCTTCAATATGCTTATTGCCTCTCTTTCCAGAAATCTTCCATGCTGACAAAAGAATGCAAAACAAAGCAGACAGACACCTGACAGAGGCAGAGTTCTAAGCCCCTAACTCTACAGGGTTACTACTTCAAAATATCTTGCTTTACAAAAAAACAGTACTGCAGGGCACAAGTTTAATTACCCTTTTCTAAGGGAGGAAATGGCCAGGCAAAAGCATAAAGGAGACTCTGGAAGTGACTAGCACAGCTCACTTAAGGAAAATATGCTTTTGCTTTTAAAAGAGAACATCACCTTTCACACAGATGAGTTCAGGGCAATTTGTTACAGAATTTGGGGCCCTGCGTCCTGCTAAAGAGACAGATTTTTTAGGTAAGGAACCAATCCAGTCCTTAAGAGAATGACCCTGACTACATGGCAACATAACAGGTTACAGCATTCTGTATGCGAGCAGAAGAGTCTATATTCAAGTTGGAATGGGAAAGTTGGCTCCCTGTAGTCACCCAGAAAACAGACACACATTCATGGTCCATAGAACTGCAGATCCTGGTCGGCATCCAAAGCAGTGCCACCCTCTGGAAGGCAGAACGTCCTAGAAAGAAGGTCTAATGCCAGCCAACCAGAATCTGGTGCTGCAGTTTTACGTGAAGGAGCACTTTTCCAGCATCGCTTCTAGGAACGGTGAGAGAAATAGAACATCAGTCAAACTGATGGTAGACGGGTAGCAAAGTGACCCCTCAGGATCCCCCGTTTGGGGACACTCACGTTTCCCTCCACCCCAGACTTACTTAGTCCCATCTCCTCTGAATACACTTCTAGAAGAAACACAGTGAGTCTGCATTAATAAAGCCATCACAGCAGCCAATACACTGACATGCAATCTGTGAGTTTGAGCTAGGAGAATCCATTCCAAACATTCTCTGTATGACTTGTTTAAGAGCAAGCATCAAGTACACCGAATGCTGATGGAGTGCGCCACTTGTTGGCATGGCACTGAGCTGTGTATGTGCTTGACTCGAACCAGTCTTCAGGATAATGTAGAATGCAGCCATCTCACCACCTGGCCTTCTGCTCATTTTTCAGAAGGCAGCTTAAACTTCCCATGAAACGCTGCCCTTTGGACCCTCGCCTCTACCCCAGTACTAATTCACAGGAGTAGATGATATGCATTCTGGGTACGCAAGGATAATGATAGGACTAGTGTAACTAGAAAAGTAGCCTGGCATGCTGGCCTAATAACCAAGAGAGGGCTAAGACTGAACAGCACAAAACAAGCAACTGAGCGTGATCCAGATTGCTCTTTTCAGCATCAGAATGAAATCAAAATACATGTACATGCCCCAGGCTCTCTGAGACATTAATTCTGCTTCACCCTGGGCTTTCGCGTATCACTGTCATGGCACCTCACTGGCAGACTCCAAAGCATCCAGTAGAATAAAATTTTGTGTGTGTGTGCGCCAATTATCGAACAATCTTTGCTTTGCAAACATCTCTAAGAATTTGCTAATATTTATTTTAAGTCGGTAAAAAGCAGAAACACTTGGAGTCCCTGAGGTGGGGGGAAAAAACCCAACCATATATATATATAAATATATATATCCAATGGATTACAGCTTTAGTATCACTAAAAACAATAATAAAAAAAATTCATGGGGGGCAGCAAAAAAGGGCCAGGGATCCAGTTGAAATCAGTGCAAGTCCTTGTTTAATATCAGCATCATGTCTATCTCAGTCCATTTGTTTTGTCTACTTGTGCCCAGGAGTGTTTAGCCTTCAGAAGATCTCGCCTGGTAAGCTGGCTGGGTTTGTTGCATTTGAAAGAAAATGACTTGGAGGACTGTTTTGCAGCCCTGTGGCAGGGTGAAATCCCCGTCCCTTGCACAGGCACATGTGTAACATTGACTGCCTTGGAATTTCTGTTTCCTTTAGCAGATTCAGCTGCAGCCGCTGTGATGGAGAAACTAAATGCTAACCTTAAATTAAAACAAGACAACAAATAAGCACAAACAGAACTGAAGTCCAGCCATCAATCACACACACAGACAGAGAGTGCCTGATCAGTTTCCCGGTAACCAGACGTGCTGGAACCTCTTGAGGACACCAGTAGAAACTCCTCTTCCTAGACTAAATTCGTACCCCAAGAACTCTTCTTCGAAGTGTTGCTCGGCTGCCTGGCTTGGTGGTGGTGATGAGGCCAGGGAGGGGAAAGCAGGGCACACCAGGGAGTGGAGTCTTAGGGATGCAGCAGCTCTGCCAAGGTGCTCAGGGTATCTAGATTTATGAGGGATCAGAAAGATTTTCTTTTGCGTTGTTTTAAAATAATATTGTGGGTTTCCCCGAGCCGAACGTCTTTGCTTTTCTTCCTTAAGACTCTTGAGGAACCACTTCCATCAGCTTCTGGCACAGGACTGTCACGGAAACTGAATGGGAGGAAACAAGAGTGCGTTAAAGGCACCGGACTGCAAGTTTTACTCATTTCAGCCTGGAGAGCTGGTAGCTGGTTTCATGATCCTCTGCCTCAAATGGCCTGACAGGGCAGCTGTCCCACTTTTTTCTTTCAAAGGAGTCTGTCTAAATACTACATAGGTCTTCATTGCAAATCAAATACAGTAACTCCTTGCCTAACGTTGCAGTTATGTTCCTGAAAAAAATGCTACTTTAAGCTTATACATGGTATAAGTTTTAAACAAACAATTTAATACTATACACAGCTATGATGATTGTGAAGTTTGGTTGCGGTGGTGGAGTCAGAGGGTGGAAGAGGGTGGGCTATTTCCCAGGGAATGCCTTACTGCTAAATGATGAACTAGCACTCGGCTGAGTGAGCCTTCAAGGGTTAACACATTGTTGTTAATGTAGCTTCACACTCTACAAGGCAGCACGAATGGAGGGAGGAAACACAGCATGGCAGAGAGAGACAAAGACACACACTGTGTGTGTGTGTGTGTGTGTGTGTGTGTGCGCGCGCACGTGTGTGAGAGAGACACACACACATACACAGACAGAGACACACACCGTGTGTGTGACTCCATGCATCTGAAGAAGTGAGGTTTTTTATCCCCGAAAGCTTATGTCCAAATAAATCTGTTAGTCTTTAAGGTGCCACCAGACTCCTTGTTGTTACGTGTGTGTGTGTGTGTGTGTGAGAGACAGACAGACAGACAGACAGACACACACCGTGTGTGAGAGAGAGAGATACGCATTGCTCCTTTAAGTATGCTGACCCCACTCTACGTGGAGCTGATAGGAGGACTGCCAGTCCACCCTGGTTCCAAGCTCCAACGGGCTGCTCTTTCTGCAAGCAGTGGACAAAGCAGGCGGCTGCCAAACAGCGTTATAACGGAGCGCTGCGCAACTTTAAACAAGCATGTTCTCTAGTTGATCAGCAATGTAACAACGAAACAATGTTAACCAGGACGACATTAAGTGAGGAGTTACTGTACCAAGGCTATATGCTGCCTCACTCCTTCTCCACAACTTCCATCTGTAACAGCAAGAGTTTGTGCATAGAATAAGGGTAAAAATTAATCCGATGTCGGTGTCAGAGTATGTGTATTGACTTCATGTACATTTCTAAATCCAGTCTTATTAACTGCACACTCATGGGAATGGTCAGTTATTACTGTATATATGTGCACATGCCATTTAACATGTGCAAATAATTAAGGCCCAAATTTCAGAACTGTACATGCAGTTACTGCGGAGTCACAGTAATGGTGCATACACGTTGGGAGACAGCATTTTTGCTTGCCCGGTTCTGAATATCTGATCCTGTACATGCATTTTCCTTAAAGACACAGCAGTGTTGCACTGTCACAAGCAACCGACACAAGGGCAAATGAGAATGTGCAGCCCAATGCTTATGCACATCTTTGCAACAACAAAAGAGGGGGGCACATGCACAACGGAGGGGGGAGGAAATTTAATTAGGAAACATTTCAACTGCAAATTTATGAGGGGGGTATAAGTTACAAGATTTTTTTTAAATCATAAGTTACCTTGACCGCGTCTTTTTAAAAAGTGTGTTTCAATGGTTCTGTGCCATCACTACCACACTGAGTGTTCTCTGCACATGAGACAATCTTGGCAGATACAATTAACAGGGATTCTGATGAGCTGGATCTGATCAGATTATCTACAGTGTATTAATACATATGTGGGCATAAGGCTCATGTGTGCCTAATTAGACACTTGTCAGATTTCTTAATTTGTGCTCTTGGACTATTTTCTCTATTCTCTGTCCTGGTGGCACATAATTAATATGCTAATTTGCAACTCAGTCGCTGTGGAAACAGCTTTACCAAGAACTAAGCCTGATACTTCGAATTTAAAAAAAAAAAAGAAGAAGTCCTGAGCACTGTTAAAAAGCACTTTTCTTGTTAATAAAAAGCACAGAGATAAGGTTTGGCATTTCTGCTTGTCTGCTTTGCTAGGTCAGCCAGCTGTATTAGAGTCTCAGACAGATGGTGGAGTTTAGTTACTTGGACAACACAGCTTGACTTTCTTGAATCAGTTGTTCAGACAGAGAGATTAGGTGGTGCCAGGCAGAGAGCTTTCCATCCCTGAACACTCACTGTGGTGTAGACATTGACAGCGGAGACACACCTATATTACATGACTACCTGACAAATAAAGCTCCCAAGAGAATCTACCAGGATATTGTCCCTTCCCTGGCTGTGCTGTCTTACACCGATGGTAGGGAGGGCACTGAATGCACCAGGACCGGTCTCCATTGGCTATGTGAAATAGACAACATGTTGGGGGCTAATTCTGATCTCACCTCCCTTAGAATTAGCCTCACTGCACTCAGATTTTTACACTGTCTCTCCATCCCCCTTCCCACCTCACCCAGCAGGAGGTTTTCCTCTGCTAATAAAGCTAGGACACCGCAGCTCTTCGGGGGGCATAAGAAAGGCAGCTTCAGCAGCTGGCTAGGGCTTTATGTCCCAACGCATCATTTCCCTGTTTGGGGGGCGGAGGGGGGGGGGAGAAAGTTTCATGTGTTTGATTTGTGATTTGCCATTACAACAGGTGGACTATCATTCTGGGTGCCTGGCCCACAAGCTGACCAACCAATTACCAGTTGGACTGTTTAACAGAAACCCATTAAAAATCCATTGTAGACCTCTGCAATACGAATTACAGCCAATGCTACCTGCCTTCGCATGCTTAGTAAGAAGCGAAACATTATCTATGGAGCCAAAGACAAAAGGTGCACCCTGCAAAGGCTGATGGCTGTAGCTATAACTTACAGATGCTTTGGAGGATCCACTTGGGTTTGTTTTTCCACCAAACCCCAAAGAAGTAAACGGGGATCCCACTGAGGATGATAGCAAAGCCGATAGCACATTCCACTGGTGTCATCCAGAAGGAGACCACGATCAGGAATAAGCAGGCCAGGATGAAGAAGATGGGCAGCAGGAGGTTAACCTGGACACAGGAGACAAGAAAGGGGTGGGGAGTTAGTTAAGGAGGATCTGAAACAGAGGCAATTGAAGTTTATCTCCCTGCAATGTGTGTGCCTGGTTTTGACCTGGGAGGGGAAGTGTTTGGATTCTGAGACAGACCCTTTGCAGATGATACCCCTGACTGCTCACCACTGTGAATGAGAGGTTGTGGATTTTTAGTTTCCCTTGGGAAGATAGGACGCTCTTCATCCATCAATCGTGGCAACGCCCTGGAGAGCCAGAAGTATTATCACCCCTGTTTTACAGAGGACATAAATAGGGCACTTGAAGGGTTGGGCGGCCTAGTGGTAAGCATGCCTGACTTTTGGCCCCTTTTGGCCCTGGCAGAGGTGCCTGGTTGCTAACCTTAGATGAGGAACTTTCTGGACTTCACTCACATCTGAGTCTCAGCCCTTAAGGGGATATGGTAGAGGGACCCAGGCCCGCCCTCTCCATCCGGTCCCAGCCCAGGGCCCTGTGTGAAGCAACACTGGCAGGTTCCTCTGGCAGAGAGTCTAAGTCCACTGCTCTGGACTACTTCCTACTGATGTCCCTTCAGTGTGAGGCGTGGCCCCTATTTTCCAGTCTGTAGTGACTCATCTGGAGTAGCGCCCAGACCATTAGTGGCATCCTGCCACGGCCTCATGTCCCTCTGGGCGTGGGCGGATGTATGTGTGGAGGGGGCCTAGTCTCACAATGCCCTTCTAGTCAAATAGTACAGTTTACTCAGTGCTGGGTGCTCATCAGTCTTCTCAACGGTCTCGGTCAGGGACGCAGTGCTGCTCCCTGGCGGCTGTCCCATCAGACTGGTAGTGATGCTCCCCTCCCAGAGAGAGGCAGAGCTACCTCCTGCCTCTTCGCCAGTCAGCCCTGAACTGAGCCAGCCTCTCCTTTCCTTCCCCCTCCAGTCCTGGAGCTGGCTGCAGGTACAGATGGATGGGGCTAGCAGGGCCCACAGGCTCTCATCACTCCTTTACTGCTGGTGTGACATTTCTCTGCTCCATCACAGAGAGGCGAAGTGACTTACCTAAGGCCACACAGCAAATCCCTGACATACCCGGAACTGGAACCAAGGAGTTCTTGGCTCCCAGTCCCACGCTCAGTCCATCCATTATATATAAAACTATAGAGTATCTCAACTAACAGTCCCGAACGCAGCAGTATGACTAACGTGAGCTGTAGCGATTTAGGTTGTTGCTTTAGAACACCATAGTACTCTTAAAATAAGGGAGCAGACCCCAGCTTTCAGCAGGGAAGCTGCTTGCTAAGAGCCATCTTGGGAGCACTGATCTGGGAAGGTCTGTAACGTGTGTTGCTTTTTGGCCATCGGTGGCTTGGTGGGGATTTGAGTGCGCTCGGAAGATGACGGCATAGCATGCCTTTCAGAACGGCTGACCGACTCCAGTGATTGACATGATCTTGGCCTCTAACCAGATGGGCCCAATGTCCTGCCAGGGCGGCCGAGGACAATCCAAATAAAGTTCTCTCCCCTGTAGTTTGTTTCTTAAACAAATATTTTTAAGTCAATTTCACGCTGGTACAGAGCATTCAATTGAGAACCACACAGGCTGATGTCCTTTACTACTAATCCCCTGAGCAGGTTTAGCACAGAGAGCTTTCCCGTGTGCTGCCCTGCCAAGGTACCTCACCCCTGACATGGAGGGAATTTCCAGGACCCGGGTGTCTCAGCCCTGGGCCTCTATACCGATGAGGGAGTCAATGAGCATCAGCCGAGATGGAGTTTTGTGCAACATGGATTCCCGCCTACCAGGAACCAGTCTGACACCAGCCACTCATTTCACACAGGCCTCTGTTCGTTCACATCTAACTTGGCTTGCTCTAAAGATGCACCTCTGCACAGTAAAGCAGCTGCATTTTCCACTCCTCCCTGCACAGATTTTCTCACCCTTACTGCTGAGGGGGAAAATTTCTATATACAGAAGTCACATCCTAGAACACAAAAGAACTGCCCTTCTCCCGGAAGTGCCGCCATAAAGCCTCCAATCCCGCCACCTTCACACTAGCATCACAGAACCCTGAGCACGGAGGGGGAAGCTCTGTGTCTGCAGGACTCCCCACTACGCCACCAACACCATCCTCACCTTGATGGGCCTTTCCAGCTCCGGCTTCTTGTAGCGGAGCCATATCATGCCGACGATGGCCAGAGCCACGCAGAGCCAGTTGAAGAAGCTGAAGAAGTTGATGACGGAGAAGATGTCATTGGAGAAGGCGTAGAGCAGGGTCATGAGGCACTGCGGCCAGAAACAGAAGCCATGAGCAAAGGGACAGGCAGGGGAGAACACCATACACTACTAACGACAAGTGTCTGAGAGCAATTGCCTACCATCCAAGAACAGTGAAGGATTTCCAAGCATATGCAGAAGAGGTGGCTTAATTTTTACTAATTTAACCAAGTCTGATCACTGCATGGAATTATTTCAAAGTGAAACTTGCAATCCAGGGCTATGCTATGGGGATGAGGGCCATATAAACACACAGAGAGAAAAAGGAGGGTGGGTTTTTGGAGGATGAAAAGGAGGGGAATTTTCTTAGTGCTCAGGAAACCAAGGGTCTGAACGAGTCGGACAGAATCAGTCACATTAGGAACAGGAAGGTGCTATGGAACATTTCCCCGCACTTCCGTTCTGACACGTGCTACCTCTTGTATTCCCGGCCTGAGTGCTCTCTATGCAGCTCACCCAATGCATTTCCATCACGACCAGCAGGGCTCCGGGCTATTGCAGTCCTTGATCCCTGCCACAGCTGTACCAATGCCCCCAAATTGGGTCCTGCAGCACCCGCTGCTCTTTCCGTCTTGGCATGCGCTCTGTGTGGGCCCCCCAATCACGACATCCCCTGCCCCTCCCCCCAGCTATTCCCCTTGTAGACAGAGAATTTGAAGTGCAGTCAGGCTTACACGGATGCATGAGGTGGGATCGAGCTGAAACATGGACTGGATGATTCAGCAGGGATCTCCACTAAGCTAACTGAATCTGTGACCAGGTGATAGTCTATCTGCCCTTCACTTCCTCTTTCACCCCGCCACACTTCCTTCCAAAGGTTTTTATTTTGAAGTGCAGAGACGTGTTCTTCTCGCCCGCAAAGACTAACTACAGCCGCTGTTCTACAGCTGTGGGTGCTCTGAGAGTGTCAGGGAACATCCGGAGAATGCAGATCAGCCAGAGAAAGATTGTGGCACCAAAGTGACGCACATTTTCCCCATGGACCACCCATGACTTTTCAGTTTATTGGGGCTGGTGGCAGTCTGGATTCTCTGCTGCAAAACTTCTCCCCTCCCCCATGTTCCTAGAACGGTGACTTAAGATACAGTGGTAACAGCTGACACTAACTTACATGCTAAGAAACAGCATATAGCCTTATCAATGTCGCCCGGCATTTCAGCTTCCTGTGTAGTGCTGCTGTCTCACTAGGACATCTTCACCCCATGCACTTGATTAAACCTAGCAAGACATGTGGGGCCTGGGAGGACTACTCCCTATGGCATACTGGCAGACACTTTGGGGATCGGCAAAAGGAGAAGGAGGTTCACCTTCCACTGGGACAACAAACTGACATTGCTTGTTTGGATTCAGTGGAGTATCCCACAGTCATTTTCCTGCAGCCCCAGTAGGGGCAGGCATTGGTGGACCATGGCTTGCTCCACCGTCTCAATTGGTTGTGTTCTCTCTGCCATGTGCCACCTTAATCTGAAAGCCCATAGGACACTTACTGTGAAGATGAGAGATGGTACCGGAGTGAGAAGCTTGGGGTGAATCATGGACAGGACAGAGGGCAGGTGACCCTCCCGGGATCCCACGAAGAACAGCCTGAGGGCAACAGAGCAATTACTCCACCTGGCGCAAGTGCTTGGGAGTCACTCACTCAGTTCAGGTTTGCATTCAGTACAAAACAAGGTACAACAGCGTGACAGAAGCATAGGCATTTTGGAGTGAGCCAGGCTGAAATGACACCCTGAACCCAACCTGTAGTACGTAGGTATTGCCACACTAGTGATGCACTGCTATTCCAAGTGGCAATTGTGTGCCACTTATGCTCCCCACCACTGCTATTAATTATTTGCATTAGAGTGGCACCAGTTGAGATCAGGGCCTCAACATACTGACTTCTGCACATATGCAGCTTGCCCTCTACACAGAGAAGGCAGAGGGTGGGAGGAAGAAAGTTTTCTTATCTACATTTTACAAATGGGAAACCAAACCAGAGCGATTAAGTGCCTTACTCCAGGTCCCACAGGGAGTCTGTGGCAGAGCCGAGACCTGAACCCAGCTCTCCCGGGTGTCAGTCCATTGCCATCCTCTCTTTTCTTTTTGGGGAACCCTCAGTCTTTGTTTTTGAGGCTTTATAAGCATCTGGGTTTACATTAAAAATGCTTTCTTGAGCACTGCTGTTAAAGTCCAAGTCTGTATTTATTAGGGTGACCAGACAGCAAGTGTAAAAAATCGGGATGGGGTGGGACGTAATAGGCACCGAATATCGCGACTGTCCCTATAAGATCGGGACATCTGGTCACCCTAGTACTTATTTAGTCTGCAGCCAAAGACACCCAATGACTTCAACAGGATTTTGCCCAAAGACAGTGAGACTAAGGTCTCCGCAAGGATTTAGGATTTGGCCTTTGGATACTGTTTAAGGCAATGATACTCTGCTCACGAGCTCCAAGTGGCTCTTTAATGTGTCTCCTAAAGCCCTCTGCAGCACATGATATTTGAACACTGTGTGATCTAAGTTAACCAATCTAAGTTATTAACCAATCAGGATGCTTTTACTGTGTTATTAACCAACTATAGCTGATAAAATACTTGGTCAGTCATTTTGCTGTGAGAATTATATATATATTTATTTACAGGCACGGTAACTAACCTGTCTTCATTTGGAGCTGTCATCACAGAAGCGTAGATATATTATATATTTTAAATGAAACACTGAATTCACACGACTGTGGCTCTTTGGGATAATGTCGATCGCTAATTTGGTTCCTCAGGCACTGAGGTCTGAGTATCACTGATTTAAGGCCTTTCAAAAAAATGACCACTCTCACTCCTTACATAGTGCACTGCCCCTTCCCTCTCTGCATCTGTCCAGTGGCAGAACCTCAGAGACCCCGTTCCTGTGAGGACTGCTCCAAACAAAGACAGGTTAGGCATGGTGCCTGTAAATGGGACCTGCAGTACTGAGCAAAAAACATACCGAGAAGAAGTGAAGAGGGATCCATTGACAGACCCAAAACACGATAAGCCAACAAAGATGGGTATGATCCAAGACATCATGCCAAGGTGATAGTTCCCAAAGTCCTAGAAGGAAGCAACATTCTGTCAGCAACTTGCCGACAGGGACTCGTATCTATTTACCCAGACAAGTTTTTAACATATACAACGCCCCATTCATGTTGGCTCTACACACACAAACTACTGAAGATTTTTCATACTGCCTTTTTCCCACGCCCAAAGCATTTTACAGAATTACACGATTGACAGAAGGCACTTCCCTGACATGCAGCCATCTCTGGGGCAGAACATGACATCCATTAGAACAGCTTCAGCAATACCACACAATGGTTTAGGACAGAAAGTCTAGGAAAATACTGGATCCAACTGCAACGCCAGGAGGATTCAGATATGCAAAACGTCAATTTAGTCCAGGACACTGGAGCAGACACCCCTGTTTTGGCAGGAAGTGCCATGGGCTCTTCAATGAGTCTCAGTTTTACATCTTAGTCGGATTCATCCCAGTATTGCTCCAATTTTATGCCAGTGCAATTCCGCTATTTCAGTGGAGTCACTTCAGAATAAAACTGGAGTAATGCAACCAGAGCTGGTATCTCTAGCAGCACAGCACCAGTTCAGTATTGATGGAGTGACCTTTTGTCACACTCTGGTAACTGATCAGACAGTTACATGGCTGGTAGTCGGCAGCTAGGGTTATTTATGAACAACAATGCCATTTATTTCCCTCCTCCACCCTTGCTTATCGCTCTGATTAATCCAGCTCAGTGTCATGTGGGGACAACCCTTCCCCACCTCTCATCTCCTGTCAAACACCAGCTTCTTGTAAGCAGCCAGGATAAGTGTTGAATGAATGGGGAGATCCAACTAGAGATAGCACAAGGGATTCAGGCAGCAGAGAGAAATAGATAAGAGCGTTTTTGATGTGACTCATCTTACCACGGCCACGGCTTCAGACGACAGCATTTGTTCTGTTGACAGGGTAGTGAAGTAAGCCAAGTTCGTCAACACGTAAACTAAGGTGACTACGGGCAGTGAAATGATGATGGCTAGAGGCAGGTTTCTGGGAGGAAGAGGGAAATCATAACATATTAGGATCTGGGGCTCTGAAGATCAGTCGGAGACATAATTCAAGAGGCAGCATGCTAGGGAGAGATGCTGCTGATGCAAAGACCAGCCTTTCTGAATAGGTTTTTGCACTGGTTTAAAGACTGCCCAATTTATTCTGCTTTTCCTTGGTCTTGCAGAAGGTCCAATCTGGCCTTCATCCTCCTTGGAGAAGTTGGGGAGAAAATTCCAAAAATAAAAGTAGCCCAGCATGGTGGCTGGGAGGCAGAGGGAGATGGACTCTTGGGGAGAAGACAGGTTGTGAGTGGACTCTGGCAGAGCAAATGGTGCTCGGGTTCAAGGCACAGACTTTCATTTAAAGAGCTCCCAGGGGCCTCCTGCCAGATACCAGTGTCAGAACATTCACAGTAGTCAGCTGGCCAGAGGATAAACACTTGTGCTTGTGGCTGTCTACAAAGGAGACGGGAAGGTCAGGCTGTAGCTGGCAGTCACCAGAAAGCTGGCTGGGCCCCTGCAGCCCATGGGAATCATACGCAGCTGTAACCTAAACAAATCCTCAAAGAGAAGCTGGTGTGAAGGCAGATTTGCCCTTCCTGATAGGCTAACTTAGTTTACGCAAACTAATTTCAAAAGGAAATCCTTCTTAATGCAGCAGACAATCTGCCTGTAGAGCTCAAAGCTGCAGGAGGTCAGGGAGTCAACAGAGTGGCTGCATTCGGAAAGGGGGTGGACAATTACAGTCCACAAAAACGTGTAATTACACATGTCAAGGAAAGGGTAAACGAATCTCATGCTTCGCAGCACAACTGATCACCACAGGGGTCAGGAATTGACCTAAAGTGCAGCCAGTGGTGCCGCTGGCAATCACACATGGTTTGCACCTCTCTTGCAGGCATCAGGGATTTGCCAGAGATGTTCTGCTCTGGCAAGATCAGTCCCATGTTACCAGATCCCCTCATATAACCCTGACATAGACATGCAACGGACAGAAAGGCCCCATGCCTTGGGAGGAAAAAAATGCAGAGGTCAAGCATGCGTGGCAAACAGTAAAACTACGGCCTGGCAAGCCCTCTGGCATTTTGGTGAAAATATGTATTAGGTAGGGTTATGAAATTGCAATAAAGCAACAAAGGCAAAGAAAACCCCCTTTCTGCCAGCAAGTCACAACTGTGAAGGAGCAGCTGCTGAGCCAGGCCAAGGAAATGGGACTTTCAAATGAGACCAGAGAGGGAAGGTGATTTAACAAGGGCTTCTATTAGACAGAGATTTTCTTTTCCCCCTCCCTGCAGAAACCGCATCCTGTACTAACGAAGAGCATGCTCATTATCTAGCATGCATTGCCCACAGCAGAGGTTTTGTTTGCCCCCAAAACGAGAGCTTGTTTTACATTCCCTGGGATGCCTAGTGACAACACTTGCTACACACAAAGGGTGGCTTTGCGTTAACGGATGGAAGTGGCATTTAGAGGGAGAACAGCTGGTGAGTTTCCCTCTCTAGCCAAGAGCTCGCCATGTGGTGCACATACCTGTAGGGGTTTATCATCTCCTCAGTGACAAAATTCAAGTAATTCCTGCAATTTAAAAGATAATGGTCATTCTGGTTACAGAGATCAATGAAGTTAGAAAAAGAATCCAACAGCCTAACCCTAACCTCAACATGCATACGCAAGCCCCACTAGAGACAGATAAACCAAAGCATGCTCTGCAAAACCACGGGTGGCCGTGTGTCTCAAATCTATGGCACGAGCGCTGAGGCTACCTATAAAACCTTCGAACAAAGGTGTTCTCTGCAGGTCTCAGCACGCAATGCAGCCAGCTTGCTTGGAATAAGATGGATCACTGCATGCCGAGGCTTATGGTCAGCTAGCAGCGCCTCGGTATTGCCAGAGGAGGGCCACAATCTGCCTCTATTTTTATTGCAAATAAAGAGAGCCCGGGTTTCTGGGCGCACATGTGAGAGTGTGAAGGGATTAATGAAGAAACCTGTAGGAGCTTTGGCTTGGAGTTGTCAATTGGCAGACTGATGTGTCAGGACTGACAGCTGCTGGTCACCGCTGCAGGGCCCACAACCTCTACTTTGACCTTTGCTCCTACACAAGCCACGGGCACTGGCTTACCAAAATCCAGTCAGTCTGAACCAATGGCCCATATAAGGCATATTACCTCTGAGTTCCTGCCCAAAACGAGGGCTGGAGCCTTCTCAAGCCCAGAGCATGCGATGAATCCTTTCTCCCATGCTGCCTTGGTTAGCTGGAATAGCCTTGCGATCTTGCTGCACCTAATTGTCCCCTGATGCTTCAAATATCCTTCTCCGTCTGTGACGATTCTGGCCCAGTCAGACAATCCCACCTTATTTAGTGTCTCTTGGTTTCCCTGAGTTCGCTCACCATACAACCTGGGCATTTTACCAGGTTGCCCCTATATTTGCTCCCTGTTTTAAATACTGCAACTGACACCACTTGCTTGTACTTGCACATAGGGACTGGGGAGGGGCTGTAAGGATTGAGCATGAATAACACTAGACAAAAATTAAGCGATTGCACTGTTACCTTGGTGACGAGTAGAGCTAGACTAGAAGTTCTGGGCCATGCCCTCCCTGCCAACTCTCTCAAAGAGCTGAAGACAAAGAACTAAACTACACTGTCACTGCAATGAGTAATATGCCAGCATCTTACCAGCCTCCATAGGCAAAGAGACCACTATACAAAGCCAGAACAATGTTCCCCACATCGACATTTGTGCCTTCGAAGGAGTGTTCAGGACTCAGGTTTGACACATCACCTACATCGAGACAAAAAACAAACAAGGACAGAACATTAAGATGTGAGAAGTAGGCAAAGGCTGAATCCCAGAGATCTTTGCAGGTTGACACAGACAGGAGATAGGCAGGGAAATGGTCTGGCAACACCCTGGGACAAAATCTGCCGATAGGGCACTAGTTTTGTTGATGCAAAGCAGGTTGCGTTTCTGTTAGAGAAGGTGTAGACAGGTTTCTATTGGGCTCATCTCCTACTGCGTTACTCCAGTTTCACACTGTGTGGTTCCACTTCAGTAAAACTAGGATACGTGAAATTAACAACTAACTACAGCAAGAGTTCTCAAACTTTCCCACAGCGTGGATCAGGCTGACAGATAATGCCTCCTAGACACCTCCCCTCCCGTTCACCGTTGCATAGCATCCCATCTGACAACGGCGACGACTGCTTACATGGGAAAGTAACATGAGGGAGCTAATGTATTTTTAGCTTCTTTTCATGCAAGTTAGCAAGCGGAAATCAGGAGATGAAAGCCCCATGAAAGCAGCCAGCTCTCCTAAGGGCACCTCTGAGCACCTAATCCCCAGCACCAAAGCCCACATGCTGTTTCTCCTGGACTCACCACTGCTGGAACTTGGTCTACACTACAAGCGCTACAGCCGCTGTAGCGCGTCTGGTAGATACGCTCTATGCTGACGGGAGAGCATCTCCCGCCAACATAGTGCCCGTGTGGCCAGACATAGGTTGCTGTAACTTGCGTCACTCGGAGGCGTCTTTTTCACAGCTCTGAGTGACGTAAATTAGATTGATTTAAGCGGTACTGCAGACCTGCCCTAAGACACTTTATGTGCCAATAACAGAGTTTGGGGCCTTGATGCCATTGACTAAATTCCAAGTGGAACAATTCTATCCTGCCTCCCTAAAGCTCCCCAGCTGTTTCAACCGAATAGGGGATCCTCTCTTATTCCCTGTCCTAAATGGTTGTGCAGCATTGCTGGGTGACTGTTAAACAGCTGCTCCTTCCACCCCAGCGCTAGCTGCATTTTAGCAGTGGGTGGAATGATTCCTGCATTATGCAGCTTGCAAAATGCTTTGGGATCTTTCTGGCTGAAAGATGCTTAAAAGACTTTGCTATTATATCGTCCTTCCACCAAAGGCTGCTTTTTCTCGATAAAGACCATCGGTGACCCAATAAAGCAGCATGTTATGGTATCCCTTTTGAATTGTGGGAAGGGAAGTCAGCTACCTGAGGGTCTAAATATCAGAAGTTCCTGTTATTTATCCGCGATTGAATTAAAAAGCCATAAAAAGAGGATTTGATTGTAAATTTACTGAAAGCCCTTCCAGCACACCCGCAGGGGTTATTTGTTTTGCTTTAAATCTCTCTGCGGTTGCTTTGTTTCATGCTGTTTGATCTGGAGCCTAAATCCAGGCCTGGGGTGGGGCCTCTCCTTCAATGAAACAAGTGCTCTCCTTTGTGAGGGAGGAAGACAGGGGAGCAGCACAGGATTTGGTGAGGCACGTTAGCATCTGACCAGCAGGGTTGCCTCCCATGTGATTCCTCTTACAGCAGGGATCTGCTCTAATCACACAGGCAACTGTTATCACATGGCAATCAGCAGCGCTGGCTGGAGGTTAACCCTTTGGAAGGCTACATTCCACAGATTCATATCAGAGAAGGAAGAACAGGGGTATTAAAAGCCAAGGCACCACTTTTTCCTTGCGCTGCAAAATTTCAGCTCCCCCGCACCACAGGGCTTTCAGCAGCATCACGTTTACCCAGGCGGGCCAGAAAAGGAACACACAAAATAAAGCTGGGTGACAAGGAGACTGCTAGAATCACGCACATTTTGATCCAGTAACACTTTCTATCAGTGAGAAAGGGGCAGCTTTCCCCTGCAATATGATGAGTCAGAGCTAGTTTGCTGGGGCAGGCTCTAAGTAGGAGCCAATGGGAGTTACCCACCTCAATGGCCTGTTTTGATACTCATCCCTTCCACCTGACCCATGCCTTCCATCCCACATTGTCTCCTCTTCACTGTCTCTCTGCCCAGCTGCCACTGCTCCTTCCCCGTCAGTTGGTTTAAACCAATTAAGCCTTTAGCAGGCCCCTACTGCCAGCAGCAAGTGGTCCCCTCCATTCCCCATGTGATGGCCTGTGCTACCTAAGTCTGCTCCTGCTGAGGCCCGTGTTCTGATCAGACACCTCCTGCATGCTATCCTTACCATTCCATGTTCCTCTGACTCACAGGAGGGAGTCAGACTTGGCTAAGGAAGCTAGAGACAAGTGGCTCTCTATCAGATACCCACGCAATTCAGAATTGCCACCAGCCAAGCAGATTCCTCCTTTTGTAAGGCGCGTGGTTGCTTGCATGGTGTGAGTACACAGAACAACGAGATCTCTAAGCATGAAAGAAATCAAATAATCCTGGGCCTGATCTCGGGATGAGAACTTGTCAACCCTCAAAGTGATAACTGGAAATTCTTAAGCAATTAACAGAATTAATACATAAATCGATAGATCAGGCTACACTGCAACCTACTCAAGTGTGTGTTTCTTTACCCCAGAACCTTGCCAAGGACGCTGGGGTGATTACCACTGAAGGACTGTTATAGTGGTAACAGATTGTCCAGGGCTCTAGCACTTCTTTTTTTCCCCCAACAGTCCATAGATCTCGCTCTGCCTTTCCCCTGGCTGCAGCACACAGTAACCGTCTGTTACCAAGGCCAAGCAGAGCTGCAACTCTCAAGCCAGGAGCACAGCATCCCCGAGTCGCCAGCCAGAAATCCGTGCTCGCCAATGCAGGAAATATCCCCCAGCTGGGAACTCTACAGCTTCTGTGCAAAGAGGGTTTGTTTAGTTCTAATCCGGATTCGGTGCCGTGCTGCGCTTCACAGACGCCTTGGCTTGGTGTCAAGGAGTCTGGCTGCCCCTTCAGGGCACATGATCAAACAGAAGTGAAATTTGCCACAGAATATGTGCTACAGAAGCAGTGTTTAAGCACAACAGGAACAATAAAGCATAACGTTTAATTAGTGTGTGTGTGTGTGTGTGTGTGTGTGTGTTACACACAAACCTGCACTTGCCAAAGCATCTACCTAGCCCATGCCTTTGCGGCACCGAGCTGCTAGTCAGCAGGGATGCAGTCAAACAATAGCTGTGTAGACATTGCGGCATGGACTGGAGCTCAGGCTCGGAAGCCTACGGAGCTGGGTGGGCTTCAGAGCCCAAGCTCAAGGCTGAGCCACAACTACAAAGCGCCGTCTACACCAGTGGTGGGCAACCTGTGGCCCGCACGCGGCCCATCAGGGTAATCTGATTGCGGGCCGCGAGACATTTTGTTTATGAGGACCTGATTGCGGGCCACAAGGACGTGCTGGCCACCGCTTCCCGCAGCTCCCATTGGCCGGGAATGGCGAGCCGCGGCCACTGGGAGCTGCAGGGGGTCGTGCCTGCAGACAGTCAACATCAGCAAAATGTCTCGCGGCCTGCAACCAGATTACCCTGATGGGCCGTATGCGGCCCACGGGCTGCAGGTTGCCCACCACTGGTCTACACAGTTATGTTTAGTGCGGTAGCATGAGCCCAAGTCTGTTGACCTGGGCTGGAAGGCTTGATTCCACGGACTGCGTAGACGTGCCCATAGTGGCTTAATGACAGAGTCCACCTTCCCATTCATTAGCAAACGTGTTCTGGAGGGCACATCCCGCCAGAGCAGACATCTTCTTCCCACCCTGCACCAAAGCTCCATCTCCCCATATCAGGCAGCAACGGCACATCCCTAGGGACATGCTTAACGGCACCCGTAAGCCATATTTATACAGAGGTGGCAGCCAACGTGTTACATGTTGTGGCACAATAAAGGTCACACCCCAGCAGTCAGTCCAGAAAGGTCTGCAAGTTATTTCTCCCCCATGGGCCAAGCCCTAGAAGTCTCACTGATGAGCCTGTCTGACTTCATCCACCCGTCTCATGAACAACGCTCGCTGAAAAGGGCCCGGCATTTAAGCTGGAGATTCAGGGAATTCTGTTTGACACAGACAAGCATAGCATCTCCCACCCTCTTACTGCACGGCTCACAGTTAAAGCTGCTGCATGCGCTCTGGAAGCTGTGCAAAGGTACCTGTTCGCAGCTCACACACATGCTCAATGGCGTCCAATACTCCCACGGAGCAGGATGTTACTATATAGGTGTAGAACACTGGCTGCACTGCTCCGTTTATACCCACCTGCCCTTCCCTCCAGTTGATACCCCCTACTCTAAATACTGTCCGTTCAGAACACTGGCCTCACCTCATAGCAATAAGTGCTATAGAGACAACATCCTCGCTTCACCCTGCACCCTGGTTTAAATGGGTTGTACAATTACACTCTGCTCGCAAATTAACCACATTAAGGTAACGAGTTCCGACACAATCCCTATTTGCAGCTCTTGCCAGCCGACAAGACGCCTGTAATTGTACCTGTAACCTCTCTGCCACCCGGGGCCTTCGTGCAGAAGGAATTTTCATGCCATGTGCTGCAAGTTCAGACCTTTTCTTTGAAAGCCCTCGTTTCGTATCGGGTCACGTCCATTCCCGATGTAATAATGCAGGCTCTTCTATTGAGGTGAGGCAATTCATTGTAATTAAACATGAGTAGCTGGGCGAAATGGCAACGAGAGGGGAACGCAGCCATCTAAGTCAAAGAGCAAAGGGGAGCGACGCAGAGTTTCCCAAGTGGCTCTAGCTCTGTAACGAAACCGAGCAAAGGGAAACAGACGCTGGACGGTAGGGAAAGCTCCCAGTGACGAGAGCTACTCAGTTGGGGCAGTGGTGGGAGCCCTATCAACTGCGTCATTTAAAACAAGACGGGCTGAAGCACTAGTGGGCCTATTGTGGGGAAAGCCATTCTATACCGCCCCTCCCGCAAGGCAATGGTTTAGCTCGGACCCACACAGGTGTTGCCACCTTCTCATTTCTACAATCGGCCTATTTCTAGTGCTGCTGCCGTACGTCCAGCCTTGCCTGCTGTTTGTATGACCG